GACAAACAAGATTAAAAACTTGGAGCCCTTGGGTAGTGCAAATGATTGCTAACTGAAAGAAAGCTCACCAGCCACTCCTTAGAAACCCTATACGGGGTCACTATGGGATGGAACCGACTGGATGGCACTTAACAACAACAACAGAGATGCCTCAGATGAAAGACCTGGTTGTCTACTTCTGAAAACCCTACGGAGGCACAGTCTCACACACTTCTACTCTGAGTTGGAGTTGACTCCATGGTAAAGGGTGGTTTGTATTAAAAGTTTAGTGAAAACTAACCTTAGCAGAATATGTGAATTGACCTGAACGTCATTCCCAGAAGAAAAGCAAATAAACAAGAGAATACTCTGTCATTCCTCTCTTGGAGAATGAAATGGAAGCCAATTCAGCTGTGGCCACAGAAAACCTGAGGGAACTTTGCTTTCCTCATTTGTGTTTTTCTCTCTCTCTCTCTTTTCTTGGGAAGAGAGAAAAAGAGACTTTTGCTCAGTGAGCAGAGAGAAATGGCACAAGAGCACTTGTTTTGGTGTCTGGGAAAGTTAAAGACTAGATCGTGTTTCAAGTCGGTTCCAACCCATAGTGACCCTGTATAGGGTTTTCAAGGAGCAGTCGGTGAGCTTGAACTGCCAACCTGGTGGTTCAAAGTGACCTTGCAGTAGAGTTGAATTCTCCTGGAATCCAGATTTCTGGGGTCTTTGGAGTTGAGGTGACCATTCAGGTCATGCTACATTAAGTATAAAACAAAAAGAGAGAGCAGGGTCTCCTTTTGACCCTTGAGTCTTGAGAAAACCAGTTTCCTAACATCACCTTTCAGTCTAACAATAGTCTAGTAAGTAGTTTAATAAAGATCTTGCCTTGAGCTTTGGGCTCATTTGGAATTTATATGTAGTCAATTTTGAGAGACAGAAACTCCAGGGTCAACTGCAAGCTGTGCTTTAGGTTAAATTGTTTTTATGAAAACACTGTTCAGTCACTGTTTCCATGGCAATGCTGTTAAATTGGGATAGAAGAGTCTTTGAATGTTCTTTCATCTTTGGAAAACTTTGCCTTTCTAGTCAGAAGTGTTGTCTGGTTTTCAAATCGCATATGAAATAAACTTCAAAATAATTTATATGGTTGGCTTCATGTTTTTATTTTAGTAAATGTTGAGCAAACATGAGACAGGTGGGTGGAAGAGCTTAATTTTTTTTTTTTCCCTTTAACGTGCAGCTTAGGGATAAAAGGAAAGAGACAATGTGATATTTATGAGAATCTGAAAGAAGACACCCCGCTGTATCTTCAAGATGGATTTCAATATTGGTTTTATCACCATGGTTAACATTCTTGACAGCTGATCAGGAACCAGGCATGGTCCTATAGGTGCTATATTCCTGGGTTAGTTCTTACCACAACCCCATAGGCCAGATACAGTTACTAGTATCCCTCCCCCTGCTCCACCTTTCTTTCTGATCAAACAAAAGGGCGGAGAAGGTGAACAACTTGCTTGAAATCTCCCACTCAGTAACTATCAGAACAGAGACTCAAAACCAACTCTACCATTCATGACTCTTATTTTCTTAAGACTTGTTGGCTTAAAAAACAAAACACAACAAACAGTTGCCATCCAGATGACTCCTATTCCTGGCGACCCCATGAGAGTCAGAATAGAATTATGCTCCATCACGTTTTTAATGGATGATTTTTGGAAGACTAGACCCTACGATATGCACATGATACAACCTTGCTTGCTGAAAGTGAAGAGGACTTGAAGCACTTACTGAAGAAAACCCAAGACTACAACTTTCAGTATGGATTACACCTCAGCATAAAGAAAAAATATATAACTGGGCCAATAACAACAAGATAAATAGGGAAAATATTAAAGTTGTCAAGGAATTAACTTTACTTGGACGCACAGTCAATGCACATGAAAACAGCAGTCGAGAAGTCAAAATGAGGGATTGTATTGGGGAAATTTGTCACTTTGATGACTAAGATGTGCTTAACCCAATCCATGTTCTTTTCAGTTGCCTCACACACATATGAACGCTAGACAGTGAAAAATGAAGACTGAAGAATTGATTCATTTGAATTATGCTTTTGGTGAAGAATATTGAATATACCATGGGCTGCCATAAGACTGAACAAATCTGTCTTGGAAGAAGTACAGTCAGAATGCTCCTTAGAAGCTGGAATGGTGACACTTCATCTCGCTTACTTTGAACCTGTTATCCGGAGGGACTAATCCCTGGAGAAGGATTTTCTGCTTGGTACAGCAGAGGAAGACCCTCAATGAGATGGACTGACACTGTGGCTGCAACAATGGGCCCAAACATACCTTTCGTGGTGAGGTTTGATTCTGTTATACGTAGGGTTGCTATGCATCAGAACTGACTGGATGGTACCTAATGACAATAACAACAGATTGCTGGGCCTTCCTTCTGAGGTGCCTTTGGGTGGACTCCAACCACTAACTTTTCAGTTAGTAATAGAGAGTGTTAACCATTGCACCACGTGGGACTTCATTCTCCTACTTAACTAAAACCAAACCCCTGCCTTCAAGTTGATTCCTGCTCATGGTGGTGGTGGTGGTGGCTGTGTGCTGTGGAGTTACTTCTGACTCATAGAGATCCTGTACAGGATTTCCAAGGCTGTAAATCTAAATTTATGGAGGCAGAAAGCCTCATCATTCTCCTGCAGAATGGCTGGTAGATTCAAACTGTTGATTCCTGCTCATAGTGACTTTTTATAGGGTCTCTGAGACTATGAGTCTTTACAGGAGCAGATAGCCTCACCTTTCTTCTGTAGAGTGGCTGGTGGGTTTGAACCACTGACCTTGCAGTTAGCAGCCCAGAGCTTAACCCAGGACTACTTATCCACCTATTGTTAGGTGTTGTCAAGTTGGTTCCAACTCACAGCAATCCTGTGTACGTCACAACAAAACACTACCCAGTCCTGTGCTAACCACACGAATCATGTTTGAGTCCATTATTGCTACTGCTGTGTCTGTCCACCACTGTCAGTTTGTTGTGTTCAGTATGTTTTGCAATGGTGGTTTCTGTGCTGCTGTGACACTGGAAACTATGCCACCAGTATTTTAGAGACCAGCAGGGTCACCTGTGGGAGACAGGTTTCAGCTGAACATCCAGACTAAGACAGATGAGGGAGAAGGAGAGGCAGACCCTTCTCAAAAGTTAGCCGCTAAAAGCCTTATAAAAAACAGCAGGACATGTATCTATTGTTGTTGTAGTTGTTGTTAGGTGCCGTCTCATATGGAGTTGGTTCCGACTCAGCACATCCCTGTATATGGGTTTCGAAGAACGACTGATGAGTTTGAACCGCCGACCTTTTGGTTAACAGTCCAGTACTTTTCCCACAATGCCACTCCAGGACTCCTATTGTTGTTAAATATCGTAGAGTGGATTCCAACTCATAGTGATCGTGTATAGGGTTTCCATGGAGCAGCTGGTGGGTTTGAACTGCCTACCTTGTTGTTTCAGTCCAGTGCTGATCCTACAGTACCACACCAGGAGTCTGTAGAACTCCTATTAGAATACCTAAAATTAATAATAGTGACTGTACAAATGTTGGCAAGGATTTAGAGAAACTGGATCTCTCATATATTATTAGTGGAAACATAAAATAGCACAGTTTTAAAAATAATAGAACCTAATACATGTCTACCACATGACCTAAGAATCACACTCCTGGGTACATATCCCAGGATACTGTTAGTGTTGTGTGCCAAAGAGAAATGCCATTGGAGAAATGTTTAGGATTGTAAACAGGGGCCTTCAGTAGGGTGAAGCAGGGGCAAGGCCTCTAAAGGCAACGTGTGGAATGGTTGGGTTTGGGCCAAGTTACTAAGTTGCTCAGGCTCCAATTTCTTATCTATACAATGAAGATAATAATGCTATTGTGTAGGTTTCCTGGGGCTGTCATAAAAAATACCACAAATGGGGTGTGTTATAAGAACAGAAATGTGTTGTCTCACTGTTCTAGAGGAGACGAAGAGGTCAAATCAACATGTCAGCCTGGTCCCCTCTGAAATCTCTATGGGAAGATTGTTCCTTGTCTCTTCCAGTTCTGGTTGTCCCCAGTGTTTCTTGGCTTATAGAAGCATCTTCACATGGCTGTCCTTTCTCTGCCTGTCTCTCTTATAAGGACGCTGCTCAGATTGAATTAGGATACACTCTACTACAATATGAATTCATGTTATACTGATAACTTTGCCAAAGACCCTGTTTCCAAACAAGGTTCAGAATTACAGGGGGTTAGGACTCCAACACAACTTTCTGGCAGACACAATTCAATCCATCACATAACTATAAATATCAACCTCAGAGAACTGTTGAGGGAATAGAATAAATTTCTGAACAAAATCAGAGCTCAAATATCTTGGTTATTATTATAACAGCTTACTATTATTAGGAGGAGTTGTTGTTTTAGCACCTTAGAGTGCTCTTGTTTGTAGAATGTATACAGATGTGTGCAGAAAATAAGGAAAACATCCAAGAATGGCCTTTGCCATGGCTCAGTGATAGCCATTCATTAACACGGCAACTAATTTTGTCTGGAAGCATTTGCTACAGCTGGAAATTCTGAGAACTATACTTCCTTCAGTGGTGTAAGGAGATCTGAAGCCCAGGCCTCTGATAAAGGGTTCTGTCTAGAGACAACAACTGTACACAGGTTTCTCTGTTCTCTCCTGCAGACCACGGAGGATGAGCCCTCAGAAAAGGATGCCCTGCAGCCTGGACGCAATATTGTGGCTGCTGGTTATGCACTTTATGGAAGCGCAACCCTGGTGGCTCTTTCCACTGGGCAAGGAGTGGACCTCTTCATGCTTGACCCAGTAGGTACTGGATGTGGTGGCATTAACATTTTGATCTCCATCCACAGGTCTCTGGGTTCTAATTCCAATCCCCCAGGGCAATTTCCTGGTGTTAGGGACCAAAGAGTCAGAACGACTTTTATGGGCGCCAGTAGCATCATTGAAACACCTGAAGGACCACTGTCCAAGTAATGGTGTTTAGGGCTTATCTATAATCAGCCATGTCAACCCAGACCCTGCCTCTATAGAGTCTATGGTTCAAACATGTATTCAACACTTTTGGTTCATGGGCACGCCATGGCTTGAGAATCCCAACGTCATCTATTTTCAGATGGAAAAACAGGTTATTTAGAGCAGAGCCATCCAATAGAACTTTCTGTGATGGTGGACATCTCAGTCAGAGTTTTCTAGAGAAACAGAACCAGTGATATATAAATATGTGTGTCGTTGTTGTTGTTAGTGCTATGGAGTTGGTTCTGACTCATAGTAACCCTACATAAGATTTCCAAAGAGTTGACTGGTGGGTTTGATCTGTAGACTTTGTGGTTAGTAGTACAGTATTTTTCCTATAGTGCCATATCAGAACTCCGTAAATGCATGTTGTTGTTTTTGTCAAGTGACGTGGAGTTGGTTATGACTCATAGCAACTCTGTGTAAAGTTTCAGAGGAGTGCTTGGTAGGTTTGAACTGTCAACCTTGTTGTTAGTAGTCCAGGACTTATCCTAGAGTGCCACACCAGGACTCCATAAATAGTCATATATTTTTCAAGAGTTTTCTAGAGAACCAGAACCAGTGATGTATACATACATGTAGTCATATATATTTTCACAACACATCAATGATTTCACTATTCATCCACCCAAACTTCACCATAAATGTGATAGTTGTTCTTGCTTCACTTCTAACTGAATTCTGAAAAGGATTCTTTTCAAACTGATATTTTAACTTTCTTAGTGCCTCAAACTAGATCTTGTTTAGACATGCTATAACAAGTTAGTACAAGTTTATTTTATGTAAAATTATTTTGAAATCCAAACACAGTTTTTTCATAATGTGCATTTTCCATGAACTTTTTGAATACACCTCTTGTAACTTGGTTCTTTATATATAAATAACCTACAGCAATGGAGTGTATATTGCCAGTGGAAGCTATAAAGGAATAGAAAGAAAGCCTTTGACTCGCTTTTCTTATAATTATTTAACCTCTGCTTAAGATTCCCCTGTAGGCTCAATAATATTACTGCTATTTGTACAAACCATAAAACTTTCATTAGGCAGGTTCCAGAATGACTGTGGCAAACCCTTAGTTTCTTCCAACAGATCTACATCTTCTAGCACTTTCTGACAGAGACGTATGCTGTTAGATGTTTCCTGCTGTCTTTCTCCACTTTCTAGGCTCTTGGTGAATTTGTCCTGGTGGAAAAAGATGTCAAGATAAAGAAGAAAGGAAAGATTTACAGCCTCAATGAAGGATACGCCAAATACTTTGACTCTGCCACCACAGAATATGTGCAGAAAAAGAAATTTCCCCAGGTGAGTGAAGATAGCCAATGGGAGTAGTGGGAAATCTGCTACCTCCATGGGTTCCTGTTTGGGATGTGGCTTTGAAGACATGGCTGGAATGAAGTGGTGATGCTGCTTCTGGCTCTGGTGAGTCTGAGCATGGTGAACCCTTTTGTGGTTAACATTTAGCTACTGAAAGTAATGTTTCTCAATTAAGTTGTTTCAGGAGGAAATGTTTATGAAGAAGTCAGGGACCATGCTGAGTGAATTAAGTTCATCACAAAAAAACACATAAAATAAGTAGACTAAAGCAAGTGTATGGAGACGGAAGTCTGTGAGTGGTTACTAGTGGCAGGAAGAAGGGAGAGGGAAAGTACAGCCTAGGGAACAATGAGCCTCTGCTAAGGCAATTGGAAATTTTTGAGACTGGATAAGGGTGGTTGAACAACATGATGAACATAATCAATGTCTCCAAAACTGTACTTGTGAAGACTGTTGAAATGGCCCATGTTTTGTTACATATGCATATACAGAAGAAGAGGAGGAGGAGAAAGACAGGGACCATATTTTTTAAAGTCCTTGAGATCAGAACTGTGTTGGATAAACTATTTCTTGCAGGTTCTGGTCACACAGTTATATTTGCTTTTCATTTTGCTGCTGTTGAGAAGATTCACAGCAAAGCATACACTAACTACTTCAAATTTCTCCACGTATCATTTAATGACATAGGTTACGTTCTTCAAGTTGTGCAACCATTCTTGTCTTCCTTTTCTGAGTCATTCCTCTTCCATTAACATGAACTCACTGTCTCCTAAACTTCCTAGCACATGTTTCCAGTTGCTGTGGTCAGTTTGATCCCATACAGATCTTAAGAAAACACAATGCTCAAGGTAGACCATTTTTGATTAGCTAGCCTATTGTTTGAATTTAAGAAAACTTCAAGGGACATGTTTGGTTTAAGGTTTAAAGATGATCTCTGGGCAACAGTATTCAGGTGTTCTTCTACCCTTCATGGCTCCAAAAAGTCTAGAGTCCATTTGAATTTGAAATTCTGTTCTGCATTTTCCCTCTTTTGATTAGGATTCTTCTATGGAGTCTTTGATGAAAATGTTCAGTAAGGGTAATCACATACCATGCAGTTCTTCTGGTCTCATGGCAAGGAAGGCAGTTGATGAAGATAATTAGCCCTGCATTCCATATCCTCCTCCTATTCCTGACTTTTCTTTTCCCTCTGTTGATCCAGGTTTTTGTTGTTGTTGTTGTTGGTAAACGCTGTTGAGTTGGTTCTGATGCATAGCGATTATAGTGCCCTGGATGGCCACTTTCGAGCTTTTAAGATCCCAGACACTATGTAATGAACTAGAAGACAGAACAGAAACACTAAACATGTTATTAGGCCAATTAACTGGATCATGACCCTAAATCTTCAGTCTCCAAACCAAAAAACCAAATCCTATGATGTGTTTGGTTGTTACATAAAACAGCAACTACTCTTCCTTCCTTCCTTCCTTTCTTCCTTCCTTCCTTCCTGCCTTCCTTCCTTCCTGCCTTCCTGCCTTCCTGCCTTCCTTCCTTCTTTCCTTCCAGTCATTGTTATAAATATATTTATCTCTCACCTCTTGCTAATTCTACTTTCTACAGATATTCAATTTATTGATCAAAATTACAATAATCAGCTGTGCTTTCCCACCCTTAATCAATGTGATTTTTCCCATCACTATTAGTCTGCCTTTTTCCCTCCCTCCTACCTTGGTAACCACCAATCAACTTTGGTCTTTATACATTTACCTTTCCTGGTCTTTTTATATAAGAGAGGTCAGCCAATATTTGTCCTTTATTATTGGATTATTTCACTTAGCATGTGCTCAAGCGCCATACATACTGTAATGTGTATCAAGGCTTCATTTCTCCTACTGGCTAAGCAGTGTTTCATTGTATGTGTGCACCATATTTTGCTTATCCATTCATCTGTTGATGGGCAGTTAGGTTGTTTCCACTGTTTGGTTGTCATGAATAGTGCTGCATTGAATATTTGTGTCCGAATCTCTTTCTGAGTCCCTGCTTTCAAGTCTTTTAGATATACCCCTAGGAGTGGAACTGCTGAGTCATATGTGACACTGTGGGTTAATGCACTGGACTGCAAAGTCTGTTTGATCCACATGGTTGGCGGTTCAAGCTCACCAGCTGCTCCTCGGAAACCCTATAGAAGGGCTGTTATGGTTTAGAATCAATTTGATGGCACTTAACAACAACAATGATAATTCTAAGAAGCCCTGGTGAACTGTGGATTAGGCATTGAGGGCTGCTAATCACAAGGTCAGTGGTTCAAACCCACCAGTCAGTCACTTGGTGAGCAAAAGATGAAGCTGTCTGCTCCCTTAAAGTTTTGCCATCTCAGAAATCATTTATGGACTCATTATGAGTCAGAATCAACTCAATGACTGTGAGTGATTTTTGGTATGTTGTTGTTAGGTTCTGTCGAGTTGATTCTGACTCATAGTGACCTTGTGTTGGGTTCCTGAAGCTATAAATCTTTATTGGAGCAGAATGCCTCATTTTTCTCCCTTGCAGTGACTGATGCGTTTAAACTGCTGATCTTGTGGTAAGCAGGCCTTGCTTATTATCCCACACCATCACTAGCTCTATTTTTAGTTTTTTGAGGAATTGCCACACTATCTTCCATCCTTGCCAGTATTTGTTATTTTCTCTATGTGTGTGTTTTATCTTAGTCATCCTTTTGTTGTTAAGTGTCATTGAGTTGGTTCCAAAACCCAGTATAGGGTTTCCAAGGAGCGGCTTGTGGGTTTGTACCGCTGACATTTTGGTTAGCAGCCCAGTGCTTATCCTATAGCACCACACCAGGACTCTGCAGTAATCCTGTTGTTATTGTTAAGTGCCTTTGAATCGGTTCTGACTTGTATAGGGATTCCAAGGAGCAGCTCATGAATTTGAACTTCCGACCTTGCAGTTCAAACCAACCTTGGGGTCCAGTGCATTAAGCCACAGTGCCATGCCAGGACTCTATAGTCATCCTGGTGGGAGTGAAATGGTATCTCACTGAGGTTTTGATTTACACCTCTCTGATGGCTAGTGATGTTGAGAATATTTTCATGTCTTTGGTGACCATTTGATTGCTCTTGTTGGTAAACTGTCTATTCAAGCCATTTGGTCTTATATAGGAGATTTATGATTAGAGTTTTTGTCTTTTTGTTGTTGAAACTTAAGTTGTTGAAGTTTTTCCCCCACTTTTTTTTTTGCGAATTGAGTGAAGGCATACAGAGCAGATCATCAGTTTCACTTTCAACAAATTACATGCATTGATTCATTATTGTTGTTATTGTTGTTGTTAGGTGCCGCTGCGTCCTTACCAACTCATAGTGCACAACAGCATGAAACACAGCCAGACTTGTGCCATCCTCACAATCATTGTTAAGCTTGAGCCCATTGCAGCTGCCACTGTGCCAATCCATCTCACTGGAGGTATTCCACTCTTTCACTGACCTTCTACTTTACCAAGGACTGGTAGGTCACTTCTGACAATATGTCTAAAGTATAAGAGACTAGACTAGCCATCCTGCCTTCCAAGGAGCATTCTGGTTGTACTTCTTCCAACACAGATTTGTTTGTTCTTTTGGCAGTCCATGGTACTTTTAATATTCTCCTCCAACACCATAGCTCAAAAGCATCAATTCTACAGTCTTCCTTACTCACTGTCCAGCTTTCACATGCCTATGTGGCTATCAAAAACACCATGTATTGGGTCAGGCACATTTTATTCCCCAAACTAATATTGTTACTCTTGAACACTTTAAATAGGGCTTGTGTAGCAGATTTGCCTGATGCAACTTGTCGTTTGACTTCTTGACTGCTGCTTCCATGAGTGTTGATGGTTGATCCAAGCAAAATGAAGTCATTGACAACTTCAAACTTTTCTCCATTTATCATGATGTTAGTTATTGCTCCAGTGGTGATTTTTATTTGTTTATATTGAGATGCAACCCATAGCAAAGACTGTGGTCTTTCATCTTTATCACTAAGTATTTTAAGTCCTCTTTATCAACAAGCATGGTTGTATCATCAATATACCACAGGTTGTTAATAAATCTTCCTCCAATCCTGATGCCATGTTCGTCTTCATTTAATCCAGTTTCTCAGATTATTTGCTCAGCATACAGACTGAATAAGTCTGGTGAAAGAATACAACCCTGGCACACACCTTTCCTGATTTTAAATCATTTAGTGCCCCCTTGTTCTGTCAAGATCCATACAATCGAAAACCTTTGTGTAATCAATAAGGCACAGGTAAACAAACATCTTTCTGGTAATTTCCGCTTTCAGCCAGGATCCATCAAACGTCAACAATGATATCCTTCATTCCACATCCTCGTCTGACTCTGGCTTGAACCTCTGACAGTTTCCTCTCAATGTTTGGTTGCAGCTGGTTTTTAGTTATCTTTAGCAAACTTTTACTTGCATGTGATATTAATGATATTGTTTAGTGATTTCCACATTCTGTTGGGTCACCTCTCTTTGGAATATCACAGATATGGATCTCTTCCAATCGGTTGGCCTGGTCTTCCAAATTTCTTGCCACAGAAGAGCGAGTGCCTCCAGTGCCACATCAGTTTGTTGAAAGATTTCAATTTGTATTCGATCAATTCCTGGAGTCTTTTTCTTTCCCAATGGCTTCGGTGCACCTTGGTCTTCTTCCTTCAGTACCACTGACTCTTGATCATGTGCTACTTCTTGAAATGGTTGAACCTTGACCAATTATTTTTGGTACAGTGACCCTGTACCAAAGAAGCTTTCTGCATCATTCAGTATTTTGCTCATAGACTCCTTCATTATCTCAAGTCAAGGCTTTAATTTTTCCTTCAGTTCCCTGAGCTTGAGAAGTGCTGAGCATGTTATACTCCTGATTTTCTAATTCCACGTGTTTGCACATTTCATTATAATACGTGATTTTGTCTTCTTGAGATGCTCTTTGAAATTTTCTGTTTAGCTCTTTTACCTCCTCATTTCTTCCATTT